AATATCTGATTTCCTTGTCGCAACCTTTATGGCCCCGGCGTGTGCCTTTACGAATGCGTCTGCTAACATAGCAAACGAATCAATAGAATTCGGTGGCAAGTTGTGGTACCAAATCATTTCTCCTTTTGACAAAATCTCCCCGAATTTTTTCAACAGAACTGACTCGATATCATTATTATTTAGGTCGTTTCCTTTAATCCCGCAAGTGTACGAGGTAATGTGTTCATTAGGGTCACTCGTCCCGTTGTACTTAGGTATATTGGCAATACGGAACTTTTTAGGAATAGGCTTCGGAGCCGCACTCGGAGGGAATGGCTTTTGTACGAATTTCTTGGCATCCAAACCTTTCAAGACCGGGAGTGCTCCCGGTATTTGATCGATACGGGAGTTATACGTCTCCACCTTTTTGTCATTATCCTCAATCTTTTTCTCCCCCGACTCAATTCTTTTGGTGAGTTCTTCGAGCATCCTCATAATCGTGGGGTCACTCCCAGATCCATTACCGTTTGATCTTTCAGGCACCGACTCAGTACGGCGAGTGATTTCTGGCTCGACTACACTTGGAGTTTTATGCTGACTTTGAAGCTGAGCGATGGAAACCTGTTGAGCTTGTAACATCTCGAATATTACTTGAAGTCTAACTCTTCCATCTCCTATACCCGGTGTTCCTTGGCCACCAGATCGGGCTTCCCTACGTACACTTCCTCCGGGGTCTGCGCCTAAATCGGCATTCAAAGCAATGTGTGAGCTAACATCAACTGGTTCCACATTTAGCACATCCCCTAGGTTAATTGGTGGTACACCGGCCCCCGGAGCGATTACGTTGTTGTTTTCACGGTGAAATCCAAGACCGTCATCGCCGTGTACGGGTGCGTTTTGTGAGTTTGGCATGTTTTAACCTGAGAACAAAAATTCTTGACAAGAACAAGTATGAAAATAACGTGTGTTATCAGAATCAGTACTGAAATAATCACTATTATCTTTAGCCCCATGGTGGGAGCCAAACTGTTTACCTCGAAAATACGAGTAACAATTAAACTTGTTTATGGTTTTAAAGATACGTGATTTAGTTCAATACTAATTAATAACCAAGAAATCTGAAGTACAAATAAAAGAAGTAAGTTGAATCAAACCCGTATTTAAGCAAGTTTCGACCTCGAGCTGTGATGGCTTCGAGGTTGGTCAACAAGAACAGTAAAATAAAAACAATGAAGCTAAGAGACAATTCTGATGAAATATGAGCAATAAAGTAAGAGAGTATATTCTTTGCTAATGATTGATGATGGTTACAAATGATTGGGGTCCCCTTTATATAATAGAGGAACCCTAAATATGGTACATTTCTATTTACAATAAGGAATCTTGCTGTTTAACCGCCTAGTACGGATTTGTACTAACTGGTATACGAATCTATTCTAGAATTTACGCCATGATCTTGGGGACGTGGCGAAAATCTTGCTCTTTCTGTTACAAATCCATAACGGCATCATCTCGGGGTTGGTCATACTTGGCTCCGATGTTACTCGAGCACTTAGATCTTCGAACCTCGTATTCTGCCTTCGAGCTCGAATTCGGTCTATATTGAACCTGTTCTCGATGCGACCTCTCGAGCCTACAAAATCGGGGGCGTATGATTTTGACCGTATACATAGATTTATTATTATTTTGACAAATTCATCTTACTATCATGTTGTTATTTATGCAACCTTTTACATGGCTTCTCGCTGATGTCCCTTTTTGTTTCTTTTCATTAATGTGGTGCTTCTACTTTTTTTAGCGAGGTCTATTGGAAACAACCTCTCTATTTCCACAAGGTAGGGGCAATGTCTGTGTACAGACTACTTTTCCTAGACCCCAATATATGGGATTAGATTGTTGTTGTTATTGATTATTATGATTGATGGTTGAAATTTGTTCTTGATAATATTTGGGGGTTATATTTCAAATTCAAGCTCATTTGGAGTAGATTTAGGTGTTAAATCGTGTATAGGATTATTGAACTTTGAAGATCAAGTTTCTGTTTCTGGGCAATTTGTATTTCAGATCTATTTGGCCTTAAGTGTATGAAAACATTGATTACACTTCAGATTTATTTGGCCTTAAGTGCATCTCAAGAACAATTTTTTCACTTCAAACCTATCTGGCCTTAAGTGCATGAAAACATTGATTGCACTTCAGACCTATTTGTCCTTAAGTGCATCTAAAGTATATTTTTTTTCACTTCACACATATTTGGCCTTAAGTGCATGAAAATATTTGTTGCATTTCAGACCTATTTGGCTTAAATGCATATTAAGTGTGATTTTTACATTTAGATAAGTGCATTGCACTTTAGACTAATCTTTTTTCAACTTCACACCCGATAAGTCTGAAGTTGATCCTACTTGTAAATTTTTATGCAAAGTGGATATAACTTCAATAGGTTCCGTCTGAATTCAATATTTCCTTTATCTTTTTTTTTTCTTTTCTTTTGGGTGTGGGGGAGTCATATTACCTGTCAGTGATAGAAAAAAGAAAGAGAAAGCAAAAAGGAAGAAAAGGCTTGGATAATGCAAGAAAAAGCAAGCTTTCTTGATAAGAAGCTTCATCAACCCTAAAAAAGTACTCAATTCACATAATTAGGCTTAAAAGTAAGATTAGGTGAAGAATGCAAATGACAAGACAGGCTGCAATGATAAAATTGGTAAACATGCCATTCCATTTTTAGGTGGCAGTATTTAATCGAAATTTAAAGAATAAAGTACCAATATTGTCATTCCTATCATACAATTAAATGAGAGGCAGTGAGAGTTTCACATGTTTTTCATGTTAACCCCTACATAAAAATGCATAGTTTCACATCAAATTGGTCGTAACAAGTCATGTCACTAAGAATAAAATAAAAATAATAAAGATTAAATTGGTTTTAAGTATAAAAAAGGTAGCATTTCTTTCTTAACACCCTAAAAAATGTATGCAAATAAAATGAAATGGATGAAGTAATAATCAGAGGCAGGCAAATATGCAGCCATTGACTGAGACATCCAATCCCGTGCATGAAGTACATTCAAAAATTGCCCATTGTAACATAGCTTCTTCATTCAATAAGGAATTCAAATGGCACCAATTTTGAGAACATTAAAAACTTATCCACCAACTGCATATTGGGAAAAGGTAACCAGTAGGAAAATATTAATCCGGACTCCTTATTTACGCCAAGAAAAACAATTTAGCAATATCATAGTTGCAAAATTAAAATGAAGATACATATTATGATTAAGTGATAAATATTTATATAAAAGATGCATTTCTGATATTATTTACGGTTTCTTGAGCCGAGGGTCTATCAGAAACAGTCTCTCTACACACTCCCCTCCCCAGACCCCACTTATAGGATCACATTGGGTTTGTTGTTGCCGTACACACTCCCCTCCCCAGACCCCACTTATAGGATCACATTGGGTTTGTTGTTGCCGTATTTGTGATATTAGTTTGCTTGGTGCAGATATTGAATTTGAGTAAAAAAAAAATTGCAATGTTAAGAGCCCGTTTGGACATAAGAATTTTTCGAAATCAGTGTTTGGCGATAAAAATTTTAATTTTCACTTAGAAGATGAATTTTGGAATTTTTTGAAAATTTGAAGAACTCCAAAAGCTGTTTTTCAAATTTTTCACTCAGACGACTCACAAAAATTCAAAAACAACCCAAAATTAAATTTATGTCCAAACATAACTCTAATTTTCAAATGCCATTTTCACTTTAAAAAAAATTCACTATTTTTGGAATTTTACAATTCTTAGGCCCAAACGCCCACTTACGCCATATCTTGAACTTAGGATAAATCGAATTTCGAGACAAACTTTTTCCAAAAAGGAACTTTCTGTCAATATGAATGATAGTAATGTCAGGTGGTTTATTTCTAAACGCCCCCACCAGTGAAAGGGAAGGCAAATAATATCAGATACTTAAGGCCTTCTTCACCTTTTATGTTGAGTGGTCCATTGATGCAAGTAAATGTCAATCTGGTAGTCTTATTGTGCAGAATAATTTCTAAAAGCACATAGTAATACAAAGCTGTAAATGCTGACCACAGAAACTATAGAGAAATATCATAGGCTTATACAGTGGCAGATCCATGTGTATTCTGCAGGTTCAACAGAATCAATGGCTTCTGACTTAGAACTCTATAAAGGGCAGCTTGGTGTACAAGGCATTATGTGTTTACGTAGAATTCGATACCTAAGGGGTGTGATATAGACAACATAATTAATACAAGCATTAATGACTACTTCCATAACTTGAAATTGTAACCTATAACTCACATGAAAACGACTTTAATGTTAGTTCCAAGCTCCTCTTCTTACTTGTACTCTATAAGAATGTAAGAAACAAGTACAAGTAAAATAGATACAGAGATTTTAGAATCCACACTTTCATCTCAAAATTTAGCTAACGTTTGGACATAGATTTGATTAAAACTTGAAAAAAGAATTTTTGAAGTTGTATTGAAAAATAATTTTTGAAAGTTAAAATTGTATTTGTACATGCATTTTATTTAAAGAAAAGTTGAAGTTTTGTGAGTGGAAGAAAAAATTTCACCCAAAAACTGCCTTAAACCAGAATTTGAAAAATTTTGAACTTTTTTTTTCAAAATATGATCATATTCTCATAAACAAACAATGTTCTCAATTTTTTTTAAAAAAAATACGAAGCCAAAATCTATGGCCAAACCAAAGCTTAATAATTTCTAACTTTTGAATTCATTTCTTCAGGGAGATTAGAAAAAACTTATTATGAATTCGATACTAGGCTAATAAGTTTATTGGGTACAAAGTTGTCCCTTCTTTACATGATCGTAGAATTTATCCTTCTCTCTGATCTTTGGCTGAGGGAGTATGAGAACTCAAATGTTTTTCAAGGGGATTATGATAAAGCAAAAGGAGACCTTGATTGTTTGGCTTTCCCCTTCTTTTCTTCTTCTCTCTTAACGAGGAAACATCTAATAATTTGTCTTCTTGACTGAAAAAAGCTTACTTCCATTCAAGGGAGAATGTCTGATATAAATTTCAAAAGTTAGTCCACCATGATATGAGATATGAATAAAGATTATTTGAGGCACAAGTCGTCTGTCTTCCAGTACTAACTACACTAGAAATATCACAGAATTTACTTAACCTCTTACCTCTCATGCTCTACTATCCTATGTTATTTTGCCTGTATAACTGTATTCTTTTGCTTTCACAAACAAAGCTTGTTGGAAGAAACATCGTAGCTACCCTTCCATAAAAACACACAACTCGAAAACTAGAAACACAAATTAAAAATCACAGAACATCTTTCTGTTAGCTTCAAGTGAAAGTATCCTCCATTCTCCCATCAGATTCTTCCTTCTGTAATTTTTTGCGCTGGCACCAACATAGATGCTGAGGGATGGGACCTTCATTTCCGACAACCCATTCATGCTCGGACACACTCTTGAGTGTTATCCTTTTTGCTGGATCTGCACGAGCCAGTACTTGTTAGGAGAACCCCGAGGGAGAAAAATACATATTATAACTACCAATAGTCCAATACGCCTCAATCCCAAGTTAGTTGGTTTGGCTATATGAATCATTACTATCCATGTAGCTTTGCTTAAGCCCGTCTTAATCCCAATATATTATAACAGAAATAAAAACTTGAGCCGAACACGTTTCCACAAATTCAAAGCATACGCAATAAGACAGCAGAAGGCAAATGCCAGTGGCATGAGAGACAAACCTTTACAAAGAAGCCCCTCGAGCAAATTCTTCAGCAGGGGATTCATACCATCAGGGAGAGCGAGGGGGTTATTTACTATCTGGGAATACAAAATGAAGGGTGTTAAAAGAAGCTTGAAAACTAAGGACTTAACCTTGTATAATACATCTGGAACAAGAGTTGACCCCTACCTTGTCATATGTGTCCTGGAGTGTGTCTCCGAGAAATGGGTATTTTCCTAAAACCATACAGTAAAGGGTGACACCAACTGCCCATGTATCAGCAGCTTTTCCATGATATGTTAGTCCTATTAATAAGAAGAAAACACTTCAGTAAGTAAAAAGATTATTTAAATGTCAATTTTGGAGGACTGGAGACTCTAACCTAAACAGCACTCAGGAGCAGTAAAAACCGGAGTGCCAGGAGACCGCCTAAGCTCATCATTATCATCCTACAAAAAAGCAGTTCACTAATGTTAGCAATTAACTGAAAGAGAAAAAAGTAAGATAAGATAATGGCAAATATAACTTAACCCAATCACCCTAAACCCTTCAGCCCCAGAATTTAGAACAAAAGGATATAGATAAACAGCATCAAGAGCTCTCTCTCCCAAGGGCCTTCAAATGCAAAAGGAATTTATGCATATTATTGATGAGTACAGCAGAGGCTGCCAGAGAACAACGAAGGTGACAGGAAAAATAACTTTCTCCAAGTAAAACCTGAGGGCAAGCTCTTTGTACCAGTACATATCAGCTATGTTGCTCGGGTACAGGTACGGGTATACGATAGATGGATGGATCTAGAGGTCGGATTTGTTATCTCATAAATTTTAAGATTCAGGGATATGGGTCGAAGAATGGATACGGGCGCTAGGATACGACCAATAAGTATATAAGAATAATATATATGACAATTAGTTATTTAAGATTGTTGGAAAAAAAAATATTTTCTGATTAATATGGTGACTTGAATCCATTATTGTTAATTAAGTTAAATAAAAAATGACTATTAGTAATTATAAGTCGATACAAGTATAGTATTAGTATATTTTAATCTTAGGATTCGGGAGTAGGGCCAGGTTTATTGGTACGGGTATTAAGATACAGTCAAGAAGAAATGTAACTACGACCTTTAAAGTATATATTTTGACAATTAATAGAAGTTATTAAATTAAAGCTAGTATAGTTACATTTTTTGTACACACTTAATATTCCATATATGTATTATCTCATATAATAGCAAAGTGTTCTAGTACTTTACTGAATGTACATACGACAAACCTAAAATCAAACCAAATACCCAATCCACCTATATTTCTTGGCCACAGGTGTAGTCAAAATACCAAAGTTAGGGTCACCAAATTCAGTGCAGATCCTGCACTCACACCCAAATCGTGTCGGATCGATGGTGTGGCAAGAATTTTGAAGGGTCCGAGCAACATATCACATCAGAAGGAGAAAGAGAAAGCAGGGAAAGCAGGCAGGTGGAAGTTAGACCCACAATTCACACTCCCTGCTTCCATGCAAACAATGCGCTGAACAGGGCCAGTGATCCCTGAGATACATATTCATCTCTCATATATCTAACAGCTCACAAAATGATGCTTGGACAATAAATTAAAAGGAGTCAGATCAAGTTCTTTCCGTAAGTGCAGAACAGATACAACAGAAGTACAGTAACTAACATACGCTACGTGCCGAATAAGTCAAGGGAAGCACGCAACTTTGAAAGACCCACAGCCTACATCCCCAGTGGGAAAAATGAAGAAAATAAACTCAAAAACAGACCCTTGTTCATCAATCTACATAAAAGGAAATTCAGAAGAAAACCATTGTTCCTTTTTAAGTAATAAAGCCGAAAAAACCATTGTTGAAGAAGGTCATACCTCAAAAGCTTGGCTAACGCTGAAATCACCAATCTTCACCCTGCCAGAGGCCGTAACTAAAAGATTCTCTGGCTTAATATCCCCATGGATTATATTCTGTTCAAGAGAAGAAGAACAAATGTATATGTTAAACTGCATAAAGCACATTACAGTGATCTATCAATGACATATAGGTATCTGCTAAGCCTTAAAATTAGTGATGCGTGATTTAAGGAATCTAAAGAAAATGCTTGTGTCCAAAGGTTTCATCTCCGTGTTCACATTTAACATAGTAGTCATATCAATAAACCCTGCAGGAAAGAAAGTGACCCCTCACTTGGGTCCCCGACATTCTTATACCTCAAGTTAAAGGCCTGCCCTTATGCAAAGAGTATCATAGGCAGCTTATGACATGCTTACAACTAGCTGAACAAACAATTTCTAAAATGAAGAAATGTTATTTTACTCTTTTACAAGTGAAAATCGTCATGATTCAGGTCAAAATAGCTACTTTCCCCGGTAAACGGGAAAGAGGGAGGGAAGAAGGCCACAAAAGAAGATTCAAAAGTAAAAGACCACTTGCAAAAGACACCAGACGTAGTTGACAAGCCTAACAACAATAGCAGCAACTACACTACAATTTCAAGCTAGTTCGGGTCGGCTATATGAATCTCATAGACCATAATGCTCCACTAAGGATCGGCTATGTGAATCCTCACAAAACAATGTCACTCCATTTAGACCTGCAGCAATAAAATTTGAAGATTTAGGCCCTTTAGCACTAGAGTTTTCTACATTTTTCACAGAAATACGAATCATTAACGCGGCAAAAGACTCCTATCAAACAAAACCTTAATCACACCTAATTGGTTACGCCAATTTGGATCTTTTCTTCCATTATGTTCTATTTTGTATTAAGTCTGCATGAATTCCAAGAGATTGTAGGTCTTTCTAGATAACTTCCTTGCAAATGATTTCACACCAATGAACCAGTTTCTCTAACTTTTATCCTCTATTATGTGCTACTTGCACCTTCTGACTTTCATGAAATTCCTAGCTCTCTATCTTATATCTGAGATGTTGGAATTTTTCAAAACTCAGTGAATGTGCAGAAAAGAAATGTTAACCCCACTCCGACCACTGATAGAACTTTTACTTGTTCAAAAATGTGACACCCCCACCTGTTGTAATGTGGACGCACAGAGGTATTCAATTTGAAAAACCAGCTGCTTTTATGCTCACAACCTAAGCAAATAGACAATTTCAAAATGGGTTCAAAGCCCAATATACATAACACGTCCGACAAGTACTACCTGACTTAACCAAAATTTAACTACGAATCCCACGGGGTAACCGTGGAGTTTCTAAAGAATGGAATACAACATATCATCGGGACACAACCAGCTAAGGCAAGAGAATTAAAAACTAATACAAATACCGCCACCAGATTCATAATATGGGGCTTATCAAAGAATAGGAAAAGGTTGAGTCTAATGTATCACCGTCACACTGCACACTTGCATCTGTAAATTTAAATAAGAAAACATACAATAACAGAGACGTGAGTACATGATGTACTCAGCAAGTCTCATAGACTCCCTCCAAAATGTGAGAAGTCTTTCAGAAAATACGCATAAGATCATCTCAAAATCACAACCCAAAGTACATGTTTAATAACAAATCATAATCACATTCGTAAACAGTTCTCATTTTATTGCGGGTGTAGCTGCCATGGTAAACACATTTGTTAATACAATTGAAATAATTCTTTAAAACATATTTTGTCTCTTAGGCTTCAAGTGTAAACATAATCTCTTTTTAGGCCTCAAGCATAAATATACTCTCTTTCTACAGGCGGTTCTACTTAGATCCTTACTTAAATTCACCATAAGCATATAATGTGGTTGATCCAACCTCCCGATCAGCAAGGCTTATGTCGACTTGTTACACCAAGTATTGTCCGTGTAGGTCAAGCCAAACTCCCGCATGTCAGGACATGTACCAATTATTTTCATCATGTGATGTACATGGCGGACAAGTCAACCTCCCACTTGCCGAAGCTTATACCAATGTGTGGATTATAGTAGGAGGATTAAATAATAACGGGATTATTTAGTGGATATACTTTTTTGCTAGATGTTTAGTTCACAGGATTAAAAAAGGGATATACAAAGTATAATATAAAACATGTGTTTTGTTTCACAAAAGATAAACCTGGATTAAACTTCTATCTCCAATTTTCACATTGTCCTTCTTAAAGGACTTTGGGAGAGAAGTTTTGAAGAAGGGTATTTTGGTCATTTAATTGTTTTATCCCTGGATAGCTAATCCTGAGGTTATCATCCCAAATTGAGTGTGGTATAACTAATCACGAGATTGCTTATACCGGAAACAAAAATTCAAACAAACACGAGATTGAATAATCTCATATTCTATCACGGTTTTAATTTTCTCTAACCCATAAACCAAACGATCCCTTGTTGTATAGAGTGCTTTTGGTTAATACTTTCACTAGTTTTATCAAAGCCAAAACAACCTAGAAATTAAAGGTAAGCAATTCATTCCTCAAACACATTAAAATAGAGAACGGAATTGTACATGAGGAACAACTTACCAATCCCATACACCGAGATTCTAAATATTTAGTCAAAGTGTGCCAATACTTCAGATTATAACTCAACAGTCAATCAAGGATAACATAAGTAACCCAATACATAACTGGAAGTGGAGTTTCTCTGGACAAAGTATATGCCTTCAAGAATGCCCTTAGCATAAATTAGTGATGAAGCCTTTAAGATGAATTACATTAAGAAAAATCCACAAAAAGGTCATGATGCATAGAAAACCTCATGAGACATATGATTCAACAAAAATATATTTCTTTCAAAGACATGACTAAAAGACTAGGTCATACATGAGAATGTAGATACATCAAGCCGGATACCGTGTCACGCAAGTACGTCCGTGCCTTATGTTCTCCGAGACCACCTACCGGACCAGCACCCTCACAGACCCATTTTCCTTCAACGTATTCGAGAACTGTTTGAAACCAAAAAAGAAAAGGAAAAAACGCTTAGGACTTTCTGGGATTCCCTATTTATTTGTTTTTTGGATACTTTGGTTCCCTCTTTCCATTCACCAAAATATGATTCAATATACAGAGCAAGCCAAAAGCTGACTGATTTAAATGAGGTTGGTTTATAGGAAAAGGAATGTTCAAGGAATACCCATGTAGAAGTGATCCGTTGTTGGGTCATCAATCACCTCAATAAGATTAACTATATTGGGATGGCACAGCATTTTCATGATCAGAACCTGTAAAAATGGGAATAAACATTTAGGCCATAATAGTTTATGAGAATAGAAAATGGAATAGGTAGCTGTCATATAACAAAACAGGAGTGACATAGGGCCATCCATCAATCCCTCTCAAACTTAGTTGGCACACAGTAAAACAAAAGTAACCAGACATGCTTAACATATATAAAGACTAACACTACCAAATCTTACACAGTGAGGAGTCCTTTTTGTTCTTTATTGATAAATCAAACTGAGAAGCCTAAGGATAGCACAGTCAAAATTTTCAAGGTGATCTATGGCCATGGTTCAAAGTCAAGAGAATCATCAAGATTGTGTAAATATCACTTGTTATCAGAAAAAATTAAGAATATTATGCAGAATTTAGACATACAACAGTTGAATTTATCATTAATGACTAAGTCATTATTAAGAATTCCAAGAATTAGAAAAAAAATCCTTACTTCATAGTTCATATAACTAAGATCTATAAGTATCTATGCCGTACTTATTTAAAATAAAAGGGCAGCCTGGTGTACTAAGCTCCAGCTATGCGCGGGTCCGGAACTTATTTAAAATAAATAAACAAATAAATAGAGCCCCGTGTATGTCTTTAATCAGCCAATTTTAACAAGAAAATTTTTATTTTCTTCACTTTTAGCATGATATCAGAGAATCTACAATCTTGATAGAGACATAAGTAGCTTCTGCCTATTGATAGGTGACCTTCCGTCGCTTACCAAGCCCAAACTTTTCTGATTCTAAATAAGTTTACTATTCTTGCATCTTTCAAGTGATCGTTCTAGAAGAACCACTTTTATATTCAGTAATTGTTTGACTGCGCCACTTATTAATTACTACTCCGATAATATAGAGCCACTTCATAGTGATCATTCTATCAGCACCATCTCCATCTCTTCTGACGGCTATAACATTTATTCTTCTAACAACTTTTTATTTTGGGACAACAACTTGCATGTACCTCAACTAATCTACCTCCTACCAGCATAGATGTCGTTCACCAAAGCTTAGGCAAATCAAAAGAATTCACCTAGTATCCACTCTGCTGGGATTTGAAACTTGGCTCCCAAAATTATCATTCTTAACTCTTCGACCGCCAGGCCACCTCCTTGGGGCCTTTCTTCAAGCGATTTTTCGAGCAAAACATTTTTTTTCAAAACTTCTTTTCTTTTTTCTCCATGTATCAGAATCCTGATACTAAGTCCCTCCTCTAAATAAGACTTCCGGTCAATGTTTCGAAAAAGTTTTCCTCTTCTTTTTTTTGATAAGGTAAAGGTAAAAAAAAAAAAAAAAACGTTTTCCTCTTCATTTTCTTCATGGCACTAGAGTTTGGGTATTAAATCCCTCTTTTGAACATTGAATTTCCAATCATTGTTTCAGGGAGTAATTCTTCCTTTCATCATCGTATTAGAATTTGTGCATTGAGACCCTTCTCCAAGCATTGAACTACGCTAATGATGTTATGGAGAATTGTATCACTGTACCTCTTTATAGTGATCGAGGATAGATTCATTATCGCGTGTGCAAGCAGTTCAGCCACTTTGGTTGTGTATGTGTGTGTGTGTGGTGGGGGGGTGGGGGGGG